ACACACACACAGCTGTGGCAACTACTCGATTGTCTTTCATTGTCCATAAATAAGGTTTAAATATTCATGTTTTCTTGGTAGCCACTGTCTTTATAACTCAGTTATAATAAAATAGATGCTTGGGAGCCTTAATATTGAAATTTCACTATGCTCAGACGTATGTGTTAAATTGGCTTAAATGAATTAAGTGATTCTGTGATGAGTCTTATGCTTAGGTGAAAATGTTCTTTGATTCATCTCAATAATAAAACCATTAAGGAGTTTAGGATTGAGGTCCTTTATCAGAAATATGTGTATTTTAGGACTTTTTCACATGTGTAGGCTAAAATATAAATATTTGACTCAGTAGTCAAATTTAATTACTATTTCAAATGAAGTTGTTATTCTGTGAATCTTCAGAATATAAAATAATTGTTTCCATTTTTTGGTTAAATTGTTCTACACATTCCCTTTTTTTGCTCTGTCTTTTACAGAGATTTTCTTTTAAAACATAGAATAGGTGCTTATAGATTGGCAAAGCATGTAGAGAACATAGTTGCTTTCCAGTCCTGGTTGTTTCATTCTGTTCTGTTTGTTTGCAGAGTGTTCCCACGAATGCTCTCTGATACGTGCATGTGCTGGATGTGACTCCTTACCTTGAATCCAGGGCTGAATTAAAGCTTGAGTCGCCCTTGGCCTGTGTTTGGGTTGCAGATTGGATCGTATTCCTTTTGCTTTCTTCCCCATGTGGCATTGCCGCTGCCTCCCGTGAGAATCCTGAAACTGTCCCTCAGCGGGGTGGAAGGAGCCGTGGGGGGAACATCGTGTCCTTAGGATAGTGACCTCTCAGCCGGTGGTTTTACAACCTGGAGCTGATGTGAGTTTGGTGGATCACGTCTAGCATTTGTATTAATAAAATGATATCATAAAAAGAAAATATTAGATTGTCTCAGTGGTAGCAGAGTTAAATATTTTTCCATTAAACCTTTCTGTCATCGTGTGTGCGTGTAAGTATGCGTGTGCGAGTGCGCACTGAGCTGTATGCGAACTGCATGAAAACTGTGGGCCCCCTTTGGTGTTGTGGTCAGAAGCTCTGGCCTAATCCCCAAGTTAGGGTGAGTATCTTCCTCTGGCCACAACACGTGCATTCATGAAAACGTCTCTGAGCTTTCTCACAGTACTTTATGCAAAACAGGCACTAAGGCACTATAAATAAAAATTCAGAGCCCCGTCGCTCATTCTGTGTCTGACAAACCGCGCGCGGACGCGGTCGGGAACCCTGGCGGCGGCTCGCCCTGCGAGTGCGGACAGGCCGATGCGGGAGCCGCAGAGGTACCGAGCTGTGGCGCCAGGCCGAGGCGTCAGCGGGAGTGGGGGTCGGTCAAGCCCCCGAATCCCCTCACCGCGGGACTTCTTGAAGCAGCCTCTTGGTGTCAGACTTAGAACATCATGCATAAGGACAACGGTTTCTCCAAGGGTTTCTCTTTCTTCCCTGAGCTAAAGCAAGCTTGATCTGTGAATTAAAAAGGCATATGGGACTGCTAACATATTTTGAAAAACGTATCCCCGCCCTTGTAAAACTTTGTTATTATTTACTTGCTCCGTGTCTCTTAATGATTCTTTCTCTCGCTGTTATATTTTCATTCCCAGTAAGACTTCTTGAACTGATTGGAAAACCGGGGGGATACTCTTTAATCTTAAAAACACAAGTCACTGTGTTCACTGCACAAAACCCTTTGCTTTATACATATAATACATTTTAAAAATTTTTATTTATTGATTTTAGAGAGAGAGAGAAGAGAGAAACAGCGATTTGTTGTTCCACTTCTGCATTCATTCATTGGTTGCGTCTTGTGTGTGTCCTGACCGGGGATCAAACCCACAACCTTTGCTTATCGGGACGAAGTTCTAACCAACTGAGCTACCCAGCCAGGACAATATGTTTCTTTTTAGTGTCCACTTTTTCTTCTGTCATTAACATTCACTCTGTCTCATCATTTCCTCATTTAACGTTAATTTAACATTAGCCGCTGCAGAGGTAGGGGTCATCTGCTAACCCACTTCTTAAGGCATTTTGGACAGTTAAAAATACATGTAATGAAATTCCACTTAGAAAAATGTCACCATTCTCTCTGAAAATTATATATTTCATTTCCCCCAAATGCTACGTTTTGCATTTTCCTAAGTAGGATCCTAGGCTGCCTGTATGCCGCTAAATGAGTTTTCCTCGAGATGCTCGCACAGATGTGAACAGTAAAGATGAGCACTTTGTCGCTTTCCCCTTGGCCGCCTCCTTCTGAAATCCCTGTTACACCCCGTCTTTGGGAGGCCAGAATAGCAGTGCCGTCGAGTGTTCCTCCCCCAGGAGCTGTCTACATCTCTTCTGTGGAGGCCTAGAGAGACAAATGTCCTTTTAATGACTTGGCCACCTGCGCAGTCTCCGTCAGCGGCTTCCATGCCCTTCTCCCTCACAAAGACAGTCCCGTTACCCTGCCCACACTGGGGAGCCCCGTCTGCTGGGGTTTGGAATGCTTCCAGCACAACACAGAGCCGGCGTCCCTTGTCCTCAATAAGATGCGTGTCTCACATTCGCCACAGGCCATATTTCATTTGGGGAGGGCCTTAGGCACTCCATGAAGCAACTGAAATGCTTCTTCCTACCCGCCCTACACTTCCCCCGCCTGTCCCCACTTCTGTTCAGTCTTTTGTCTTCAGGCCCCTCCTGTGTGTCCGCCCCCTAAGTCCCTGAGACTGTGTCAGCGGCTGGCATGGCATCAGATGTTTTCTGATCTGCTTCCTCTCCTCAGGCTCTTCCTCTTCTGCTTTATGGTCTAACCCTGAAAGGTAAACCTGGGATTATGGGTTAGTGTGGTGTCCTTTCCTAGTATCATTTTGCATTTTTACAAAGATCTTTCTGGAAATAGAATATCAGTGGAATTTTGAGTAATCTGGTGGTACAGGATGGACGTTGGATTAAATCTGCCTTCCATCTTTTATTTTTTTCTTCTTTTATTGGATTCTACATATATTTTTTCTGTGACCCTCATTTAATCCCATGTGAATGTCTACCCTTCATCCTAGCTTAGGGCTGAGGGCCGACTCTCTAACCCCTGGGCCAAACTGGCCAGGGCTAGTTTGATTTCTAAAAAGTAAACAGCAGCCCTGGCCAGTGTGGCTCAGTTGGTTGGAATGTGTCCCATACACCTAAAGGTGGTGAGTTTGATTCCCGGTCAGGAGGTAACCGATTGATGTTTCCTTCTCACATTGATGTTTTTCTCTCTCTCCCTTCCTCTCTCTAAAATCAACTTTTTAAAAAAAGCAAGCATACAAACAAACAAAAACCCACAAGTAAACATCAAATTTAACTTGGTTCTTGTGATTAACCATGACACACAGCATTTATTCAGTGTGTACTATAAACTAGATACTTTACTGGTATTATTGTATTTAACACTCAGAGCAGCCATATGAGGTAGATCATATTATTCCCGTGTCAGGAATGAGTAGACAGAGACCTTAGCCATTAATTGATGGACTCACGTGGTTAAGAGTAATGAAGTCAGGTTTTGACGCAGATAATCTGTCAAACCACTGTATTCAATAAAAGCAATCGAGTCAGTTTTAGATGGGTGCACACCTTTCCTTAGCTCACAGATGCGCACGTCCCAGCTTTGGATAGGAGACTAAACAGGGAGAGCTGGCTTTATTCCAGTGCTATAGCGTGTCGATTTCTCCTTCTCTGTCTCCTTTTTTCTGGACTATTAGAGAGTAATACAGAGGGGCGATTTCTCTTCCCTCCCTCCCTCCCTCCCTTCCTTTTTTCTTTCTCTCTTTCTTCGCTAAACTGTTAGAGGCTGACAAACACACTTTGGTAGCTGTGCATTTTGGATTTTATTCCCAAAGTCAAATATAGGCATACCTCAGAGACACTGTGGGTGAAGTTCCAGACCACCTCAATAAAGTGACTCATAATCTCTTTGGCGGGGTGGGGCCTTGCCTTGATTTTGTGAGAAGTGCAACCTCTGACGTGCAGTAGAGCAAAGGGCAATACCAGGAGGCGTGCCTGTGGAACCATTCTGCAGTTACCTTCTCTAGTCTGCCTTCTTGCTAAAGTCGCTGAATTCCACAAGGGTCTCTCAGTTCCCCTGAGAAGTACAAGACACTGGGAATAGAAAGGAAAAGTGTAAATGTGCCTGCAGGAGTTCACCGTTAGCTAAGCCGGTGAAGGGGAGAAAGGGTGATAATTGGAACATGTGCCTCTGTAAGGATGCGCGGGCCTCTTGTCTTTGCTACAGGCACCATTTCGGTGAACACCCTGCGCACGCCCTACACCGCGCCCGGCGAGAGTGAGATCCTGGACCTGGACGACGAGCTGTACCTGGGGGGCCTGCCGGAGAACAAGGCCGGCCTCGTCTTCCCCACCGAGGTGTGGACCGCCCTGCTCAACTACGGGTACGTGGGCTGCATCAGGGACCTGTTCATCGACGGCCAGAGCAAGGACATCCGGCAGATGGCCGAGGTCCAGAGCACCGCCGGCGTGAAGCCCTCCTGCTCCCGGGAAACGGCCAAGCCGTGCCTGAGCAACCCCTGCAGGAACCACGGCCTGTGCAGGGACGGCTGGAACAGATACGTCTGCGACTGCTCGGGGACCGGCCACCTGGGCAGGTCCTGCGAGAGAGGTAGGCTTCCCCGGACCAGGCCGCCCACCCCTTGACGTGAGAAGCGCATTAAATACTGACCCTAAAGTTTAGATCGACAGTGGGGTCTGCAGAAGCGAGCTTCCCGCGAGCTGAGCAGCCGCATCTGACATGGCACTGATGACTCCGTAATGATTCCCAAAGGCCCCGGGTCGGGGAAGCTCGGCTTTTTAAGGACATTGCAGGAATAAGTATTTGGATCTTTGGATCTTCTAGTCTAGGGGATGAGCCTAAGATATATAGTGGACAGTAGCTGCTTTCTCTTTGGCTCAGTTGTTTTAAAATTTCAGGACATTGGAAAGTAAAGAAGGCATGAGTTAGACATAGTTATGGCAGCCAGTGCTACTATCGATGCCAAAAAGAAATACATAAATAAAGAAATAAAGCACGTGTCTGAAGCAGGCTAAGCTGGAAGGTGCTACTTCCCTGACACTATTGCTTGAGATCCAGATTAACCTGCTCGTTTCACTTCAGGGAACTTACCCACATTTGAAATTTGAAAAGTAAGCTGACTTTGCATCACCCAAGGTACAGCACCGTTTTCAGAAGTGCACCCCCATTTCAAAGGCACTTACTTACCTTTGCCTCGGGCCTAACTGACCACAGAAGGCCCGTTGCCTGTTTGATAGTAAGGCGCTGTGTGTCTGCTGAAGCTCTGAGCAGGTACCTCCATTTCTTTCTCTTTTTGGAGGCAAAGCTATGCTTTTTCCCTTCTTTTTCTGTGTGCCTGTGGAAGCAGAAGGAGGGTTGATGGAAGGGGGAAGGGGAGAGCTGTCACAGCTCACCTGCAGACCAGACGAAAAGAAGAAATAGCAGAACAAATAGGTCTGAGTCCTCCCATCGACCTAAGAGTTTCAGATAAATGCTTTCGTCGCTACACCCATTGCCACTCATTTTCAACAAGGGAACAACAACAAAAAGATATGAAAAAATCTTGATGAGTGTTTCCATTGTCCTCTCACACTGTGCATATCATTACTCTGTTAGCCGTTAACCTCGAAGCAACCGGCATCTATTTTTTCAGCCGTGAATATTTAGTTTTCATTTCTGTAATGTTGAATACATTTACGTTAACACTTTCTAGAGAAAAAAGTGGAGCTTTTCTAGAATCCAAAGTTGAAATATGACTTTGGTTCTTGATCTTTTTTTTTTTAATGTATCTTTATTGATTTCAGAGAGAGGAAGAGAGAGGGGGAAAGAGAGAAACATCAATGACGAGAGAGTCGGTTCTTGATCTTAATAAGGAGGTTTCATCATCTTATCAGCTCTATTATTAACATCAATCAATGTAAAAATTAATAAGAGTAACTTAATAATCTAATAATGACCTTAAACTACCTACCAAAATACGACCTCTGTTCTGTTATACAATTAGATACGTCAATAGATGGGTAAATATTTTAATCACGTGGATTCATTCATTGTCCTAAGTACCTAATTGTAATTGCTGTGAATTGTCATCAGAGGTTATCTACATCTGCACGGTTTTCATTTGTAAGGTGTATGTACTTTGTAAGTTTTCTCTTCTCATTTTCCCTTCTAATCTCGGTTTGTTTGTGTAGTTTAGTTTTTTAGAAATTGACCAAAGGGGCCAACAATAACTACAATAAAGAGACAAAGCTCATGAGATGTATTACAATTGGTCATCGTGAGATTAGCAGACCTGTATGATTTAAAAATTTGTTCTCATTTTAATCACTCCGAGAGCCGGCAGATATGCTCGGATGCCTCCTGCTTAGGTGCAGCGAGAGAAAGATGTCAGTGAGCTGGTACCTGGAGTGCAGGAGCCTTCAGTTAAATATGCATGGTGTGCCACCCTGTGGCAGTGTCCCACTACTACATATGGCAGAAGTAAAAATAGACATTGTAGAGCTTCCTGAGCCAGAATGAGGGGAGGGGAATATTTATATATTGCAATAATTAGAAGGAGGGTGGCAAGCATATGCAGATTTGCAAATGAGAATATAATAACAACCTTCATCACTGGAATTCGGCAGCATACATTTTTATCTGACATGAGGACGGAAATTTCTACAGATTTCTTTGTGTCCAGGTTGGTTGTGTGTTGAGGAGGAAATGGTCTTTTTTAGTGTGTGTTTTTGTTTCTGGACTACCCGGGGTACTGTGAGTAGTCTTTACTCCCCAGAACACATTTTCTTGCTCACATTACGGCATCTACTGAGAACAGGGAGATGTGTGATGCCCGTCGTGCTCAATGCCACAAAGTCTGGCTTCTGTCCAGTCCCCAGCCATGCCCTAGTTCAGTCAACTCAAGATCACGCCCAACCCTCCTGGTTTCCAGTTCACAAGAAAGGGATTTTTCTCTAGTTACACCCTAATCCCATGACACTGTTGGCTACATAGGAGCTGACTGACAACTCTTGAAGTGAAAAAATAATAATAAATCACTGAAAAAGTGTCTATTTCACTATTATTGAGCAATAATTGCTGATTTATAAAGATAATTACTCAAAGTAATTAAAAAAGCACGTTCCAGTCCATGGACAGTGCAGCATGGGGAATGAAGCTGCAGTCTCATTGTAGGAAATTTTCATTCTGCCTTAAGTAAGCAAAAGGGTTTATATGAAAGAACAGAGTATGCACTGACTTAGGAAAATCGTATTTTGTTTTATGTGTATTGATCCCATAGGGAGGAAAAATATATAAATAATGTTCAATAGAATATACATTAAATGCAGCACCTTCCCTCCTGCTTTATTTTTAATAAAAGTGGGAATTGGTAGAGACTTGCTCCTATAGAAATTATTTTTGGTGATATGTATATGGTATAATCAGAGGTCTACTTCATACTTGTTTGTTAAAACTCTAACAGATGGAGGGACAGATGTCAGAGCAATATAACTTGGCTCCCTGTCTGATTTTCATCGTTGATCACAATATGTGACTGCCTTTCGGCAAAACTGAGCACAGGTGTACACTTTAGATTGCGAGGAGGAACAACACAGAATTGCAAATTTATCAAACTTAACGACAAGGGAGAAAGAGATACAGGAGACTAGGTTGAAACTTTTTCTCCCCCACTGGGAAGCACTGCATTGGAATTAGCCTTTTTTAAAGGACTCTTTTGTGTCCTAAGCAATAAAATAATTTTACTGATGTTAAAAGCGGCTTCCAAATAGCATAACCTTCAAATGTCAGAGTGCTGTTTACCATTTATTTGACAACTCTAGGCTAAAAGCATGCGCCTTTTCCATTTCTTGTCTAACTAAAAATTAACTCTAATTATGAGGAATCATTTAGACATTCATTTGTTGTTTATCCACAAGTAATTTTCCAATTGAGAATTTTTTAAAATGGCATTCAGGGGCTCTCGAGTTTTATTATTTTACTATGTTATTTCATCCCTGCAGCTTTTTGGAGAATGTTAAAGGCCAATGATCCTAATTATTTTTCTACTTTGGATTGTATTTCACACTATATTTATGATCCATTGTCAGACCTCTGTGTTTCTAAAAGGATGTTCCCCTACTTAGCTTTTAATCAAATTAAGCTACATTTTATAGGAGAATCTGAGAGCATTTGAAAATTAAGATTATTGAACAATAGAGAATGAGTTACAGACTAAATAAATAGGAGAAAACGAAAAAGAAAATTATTTTAGTATTTTATCTGTATAATACCACAGTAACTGAACAATTGATAACAGCACTTAACTCTGATTCGTATATTATTTTATAGGTATGGACAATGATTGGCTGTAGTGTAGGATAAGAAACAGTAAAGATCAAATTTCTTTAAGGATTATACTAGAAACTGTTCTCCTATATTTTTTAGAGTTCACTGCAACTTCGTGATCATGTTTGAATTATTTTTTTAGCAACTTCTCCTAGATATTCTGCACTGAACTCTCTTTTGTGATAGTGCATCTATTTGGGAAACTTCTTATCTAATTGGAAAAATATGTCATATAATGTAGAACCACTGTGCTGTAAGAGTATTGTTTTATTTCCTCAGTGCTTAGGGGGATGCCTGGCGGCGGGATGGAGATGCCTATTTTGGTTAACAGACCCCTTTCCTAATCTATCTTTTGCAGCACAATTATGGACTTCAAAGTAGACTTCAGTAAATATTCTGTTCATATTCGTTACCAAAATTGGGTTCCATTTCTAATGGGCAGAATAGATCATTTCTTTAGTGAGCATATGTATAAGCTTGGCAACCCAATGGGAGGAAGTTCTTTCCTGTACCTTCAGTACTGAGCGATCATTGATTCAATAAGTGTTTCTTGAGGCTCTGCTGTGTGCCTCGCACTTAGGGGCACTCAGCTGCTGATGGAACAAGGGGTAGGAGTGTCCCACCTCTGCCCTCATGACACTTCGACACTGAGACTTTAAAGGGCAAAGACAGACAGTGCTATACAAACAAAAGATAAATGGTAATTAAAAAATAAAATGGTAAGTAGATATAGAATAACTGGAGGGAGATTAAAGGGGGGCTGGCCGCATACCTCTCTGAAGGCACATTTGACAGAGACCTGCCTGCTGAAGGGACCAGCCCTATAAAGATACGGGGTGAAGCCTGCTGAGGCGGAGCGCAGAGACTGGAGAGATGGAGTCAGTGTGTGGAGTTTACTAAACTAGGGGAGGGGGTGATGCTGAAAGCTGAGGCCAGAGAGACAGACTGGGGCCAGATGACACAAAAAGATTTTAAAAAAAAAGGACAAATTTTATTCTAATTGCAGTGGAAATCTGTTGGCGGAGGAGGGGGTGGGGTTGTTGAAGCGATGCGGTGATAGAGTCTGATTTACTCCTTTGGAAGTTTGGCTTGGCCGCTGCGTGCAGGGGGAAAGAGGCAGGAGGCTGCTGAGGGCGCTGTGACGCGATGGCGGGCGGGACTGGGGCAGAGCCTGCGGCCCATCCGTGGTGAGGGTGAGAAGCAGTCCATTCAGGAAACGGCCTGGAGTTGGTACCTTCGAGAACTGCAGACGTGCAGATGGACTGGGCATGGCAGACAGGGTAAGAGAGAGGCCAGAAAGGCGAAGGTCTGAGCAGGGGTCATGTCCTTTACCGAGCTGGGGAGCGTTAGAGAAGGAACGTGCGGAGTCGGCCCGCTGCTGGGGGAGTGAAGGAAGAGCCTGGTAGGTCCCTGTCGTATTCGATTTGGAGATGCTCAGCAGGCCACGGAGCTCAGGAGAGAAGTCAGGCTGCCAGTAAATCTTTGGGGAAGTGAGCATGAGATCCTCTGTCATGAGGCAGACAGAAAGGAGGGCCAGGCCTGGCTGGTGTGGCTCAGGGGTTGAGTGTCGATCTATGAACCAGGAGGTCACAGTTCGATTCCCGGTCAGGGCACGTGCCAGGTTTCGAGCTTGATCCCCAGTAGGGGGCGCGCAGGAGGTGGGCGATCAATGACTCATCATCAATGTTTCTATTTCTCTCTCTCCCTCTCCCTGAAATCAATAAAAATGTATTTTTAAAAAGAATACCAGGCAGAGACCCTAGCACCCCCAGTGGCAACTGATGACTAGAGCATGTTGGAAGGAATACTGCACTTCCCTGGCTTCTTGAAACATAAACTTGCCAAACCACAGCTCCAGAAATACAGCCTTAATAATAAACACAGTTGCATTACTAAAGCTAATTGCTGTGTCATGTACCTAGGCAAGATAATGAGAATTTCCTAGTTTATTTTAAATCCAGGTGGTTTTCTTTTATTAGAGGATGTGCTGAGTTGTCAGAACCAATGCGAAAGCAGCGTGACTCACCCTTGCTTTGCAGTGTGCCACACCAGATGGTGTTTAGCATTCGGGGGTGCTGACGACTCCTTAAGGCAGTCAGTTTGTGATCAACAGTTTCTGCTATTTGCTTTTTTGTGTGTTTGACACTGTATTAAGCAACTTCCCTATGAAAGCAACCCCCTTTGGTTTCAGCGGCACTCACCCACACAAGCTCTTCAGTCCCACCCCGTCTATGTAACATTACCAAGGTACGTAGTAGTTGACGTTTTGGTGAGAGCTTAATATTTTCAGGATACCAGGGCTGTGCTCACAGATAGTGTTAAGTTCTAATTCACTGCTCTTAGAATCATCGGCTTTTAAGGCGAGCAGAGGCCTTGAAGACCCTCTTCTAGCAGATGAGATCCTCTCGGAACCAAGGCTGAATCCACAGAGCTGGCCAGTGGCCGAGCCAGTATAAACGTGCACTAAATAGTTGCTAGTGCTTCCACCCAGGCTCACACTGTGGATGCACAAAAGCATCGACCTCTGCTCTTGAGACAAGAGACACACACCTAAATATTTACAATCCAGCGTGATCAGTGCTGTATGTAGAAAGCGCTATGGGAATCCAAAGGCCATGCAGCCATATCCCCTTCTGGGCTTTAGCAGGTATTTCGCAGAGGACACTCCCCCTACCATGACTTCTCTTTCCAGCTTAAAAGAAATTGCTCATTTCTGAAAAAGACGAGTTGAGTTTGTAGTCTCGTGTTCTACCTGGAAGACTTTACTAGGCCACGCTTTTCCCTTTCCAAGTATAAATGTGCTAAACTGACCAAGAATTCTTATATTCATTTCTCATCTGTAGAGGCGACGGTTTTAAGCTATGACGGGAGCATGTTTATGAAAATCCAGCTCCCCGTGGTAATGCACACAGAGGCTGAGGACGTGTCCTTACGGTTTCGATCTCAGCGCGCATATGGCATTCTCATGGCCACCACCTCTCGGGACTCAGCAGACACGCTGCGCCTGGAGCTGGACGCGGGGCGCGTGAAACTGACGGTCAATCTAGGTAACGACTCGCCTCCCCCCGCTGACTAACACCTCTCACTTTTTGTTCAGTTCTGCCTGCAAACATTTATCAAGTAGCCTGTTTGCCATGGAAAGTTAAAACACTTAATGGTCTCATTTCCATCATTTAATTTAGATTTTTGGGGCATCTTTTTCTTGTTTTTGTGTTGTTGTTTGTTTAACATAATTTACTGTTTTGTGATTTCTATCACTGAGGGTTCTTGAAAGGGAAGCCATACGTCTCAGTGAGGTTAATTGAAAATAGTATAAATTATTGGGCTTGCAGATGCCTCAAGCCGAATTTCCTTTTGTCATATTTACTGACACTCTAATTGGCTATAGATGATACCCTTCCAGATACATTGACTGAGATATGCACCAAATATCAAATTTCTACTTTGTGAGCTAGATCAGCGGTGGTTTTTCTTCTATTCCGTGAGCTTCTCCTTTCAATAGTTGTCTCTGTGGTAGCCCATCTTTTCTGTTTGGAAGTACCGTGTGGTGATATTTTGCTATCAAACAGCAATCCACAACCCTTCAATGCCCAAAGTCTGCGGCCCTCAGCAAACAGCCACGAGAACACTGAAAACACAGGCTCTTCTACAGAAAAATAATGCTTTCCTGCTTCATTACAGGATTAAGAAAGAGCCACTACAGTAAAACCTCAACAACCCAGGTGAAACACGGGGGAAGGCCAAGCTGAATTAAGAAAATGTCTGAATTGTAGAATTAGCAAAAATTAAGCAGTTTTGTTTTCAGTTGCATTCAGAACACAAATTAATAGCTGAAAAAACCCTGTTAGGGGAAGGTATTACTAGGCTGGTTTTCATGGGTGGGTAAGAATTATCCATAATTAGCACATTGTTTCACGCAAGCCTGTGCCATCAATGTCTAGTAAAGTACTTGGAATCAGTTTTCTTCCTAAACTTGACCTTTCACAACTTGTTTGTTTAATTTTTTTCAGGTGATCTATGCTCATACTGAATGAAGAATTATAAATAACATCCCCGATAATTTTCAATATTATTATTAACTCCAAGAGGAGTACAAGTTAATGAGGTTTTACTGTATTTACTGGAAGTGATAAACACACAAAAATTAATAAACAGAAAACGTGAAGAAAAAGAGAGAAATTTTTGAAACTATGTAGACTTACAAAGAGTAGTAAATGTGATGAGGTAGGGCATTTCTAAAAACCCCACCTACATTTTCTAATTGTGCTGGACAGAATGATAGATCATAAAATATAAAATTGTTTCACGGATAGCTTATTAAATACAATTGCATTCAATTAATATTAGTTAAATTAAGTTACGTAGTGAGGGTGTTTTCTAAAGAGTAGGGAACACGCAGCGCTCATTTCCTGTTCTGTTAGAGTTCCCTCTGGTGACAATGACAGGTTACTGCAGCCAATCAAAATAAACGGCCTAATTGCAGCCCAGGGGCTGCTGGCCCACGTGGCAACACTCAAGGGGATTTTACAACAGCAAAGCATTCTGTGGAAAGAGCTGTGTCGATGCTGGTCCTTGGCTGTTTGCAACCACTTTTCTGATGCGGTTGACGACACATGACAAACTCAGCTACATGGAAACAGAATCTAGGTTTATATTTTTCATGTTCCCCAAAGGCATTAAATACTACAACCAAAATCAACTAATATTTATCCAGACATAAAATAAACACAAAACATCCCACATAATCCGTTAAAGATAACCCTTATAATCACAGTCTGCGTTATTCAGGTCAGACAGCCTGTTCTTAGAGAATCTGCTTTTATGTGAGAAGCAAGTATGAGAAAAGGAAAATCAATGGCACTGTTAACCATGACACTTACTGCATAGAGATGACATTGTTAGCTCCTCGGAGAGGCATAGGCTGGTGTGTCCTGAAGAATAACCCTACTCCTCAGCCACTCAAGTTTCTAAAAGAAATATGCAATGTCTCTTTCCTTCTCTGATTAATACAAGGCATTCAATCCAGCCAACCTCGGACTGTTACCTCTTTGCCCAAGCGAAAACAAAACAAAACAAAACAAAGCATTAGGGCGAGGTGAGAATAATCTCAACTTGCTTTCCATTGACCACCACGATTCTAAAGGACCCTCTTGGCCTTTGTGGGATATTAGATTTTGGAGGTCCAAGATGTCTGAGCCTAGCTGGGCTTGCACCTGCGCCCCATTGTGACGGAGCACTTTTTAATTAAGCTGAAAACAATAATCTGTTCTTTCACACATGGGGAGAAAGTTGCAGCCAGTCTAAGCCAAGCATCTTTGACAGTTAACAAGTCTTTATTTCACTTAGATTTGTCACCATGTAGCTTTGTTTGAATTGGCCATTTTTTAAAACCTTCTAATGTTGTTTCCAATGGTGAAGTTTTATAACAATGAATCTGGGTTTTAGAAATACGTAAAGTTATGGAGTGGCCATATTTGCATGTGTCTGTCCCCGGAAGGGTGGACTGTGATTTTATTGGATGTCTGCAGCTATTACCTTGAAGGATAAATTTTCATTTTTCATCTATTCTTCCCCATCTAGATTGTATCAGGATTAACTGTAATTCCAGTAAGTGCCTATTCAAAATTTTTAAAATGTTATTCCTCCATTATGATGTAAGCTAGTCAAGAAAAAAACAAGAGAGCAAGAGAAAGGCATTTATAAAGCTCATGAATTCACTTTTGAAGTACACCAGTCCATCATCTGGGTTGTAAAAATTCATTTTGAACTCTGTCCAGTTGAAGACTTAACCGCTGCAATTCCTACCTCTAAGTGGCAAAAGAGGTGACAAACATTTTTTAATACAATGTACAAACGCCACTATAGACCTTTGGATAAATCAAGTAGTATTTGCATTTTGCCAGATCTTGGACTCCATTACCTCTCTTCGTGACCAAATTTGGAGGACACAAGAATACTGTGTGTCCTGTTTCTTTCACTTATTGTTTTTATCTCTTAACTCAAACACAGAAAAATATGTAATTCCTTTCATTTTGAAAGTTAGTATTAAGTCCTTGTAAATCCAACTATTTTACAGAAGAGAATGTGTTTTTCAAGTTATATATATACAAAAGATTACTTGTCTAAAGAAGTTTTTTCTTGTTCATAAAGAGTATTTACATGATGAATTTTTACATCCTAATCATNTTGTGTTTTTCAAGTTATATATATATACAAAAGATTACTTGTCTAAAGAAGTTTTTTCTTGTTCATAAAGAGTATTTACATGATGAATTTTTACATCCTAATCATATATCTGCAAAAATAACTAAAGCCCTTCAAATCTGTGATATGCATGCCAAATGATGAGTCAGAAAAGATGCATGGACTGAGTTTTGATTATGGACTAGAGAACCTGAAAGGATATAAGGACTGTGATTTTATTTTGAGTTCTAGCCTTAAGAGTAAATTTATTTTATTTCTTTACATAAATATTTAGATTTTTCTTTTCCAGGTTTTGCTGACCACATTAAGGAATCTCCTTCCATGCTAACAGAGTTGTTAGCTATTAAAATAAAATGGTTCTAACAAGCTTCTAATATCTCATTGTCATATCAGTAAAAAAAAGTTTTTCTGTATCTTTGGAAAATGCTGAATGTGAGTCTGCTCCCCAAACCACTGGTTGTGTTTCCAAGTGTCAATAATCCATTCTCTGAGAAACAAATGGTCTGAAGCTTACAAAACCAGAAGCTTTATCTAATGAAATATATACTGTTTTGAACACTGTGCTTCTTATAACTCAGATTCTTCTTCAACTATTTTAATATTCATTTAAAAGTGGCAAAAAAAGCTGGTCTTTCCAATCACAGCAATATAAAGGTAACTGAATCATGACTTAAGAAAAATTAAATTGATAAACTACCATGGAAAACAGTAAAAATCATTTCAAACAAAACAGCTCCTGAAATAATCTGTAAAAACTCTCACGCAAGTGGAAATTTTCAAGTCTACACCGTGTCCTCTCAAATCCCTCTCTTCCCTTTCACCATTTCTGAACAGGAGCACAGACTTTGCAGCTCTCACCCAGTTTGCCTTCAGCTCTGGGGCATGGATGCAACTCACACAATATTTCCAAAGCCAGATGTGCACCTTAAGACAGCTATAGATGCTTTGATTCTTCCTGAATCTTAGAAAATCCATGCGAGGAAAGTATTTCTTCTTAGACTTCTGCTTTATGTACTCTTACAATAAAGCATAGGTTTTTAAATTTACAAAATGTAAGTACGTAAACTCTAGTATTTGATGGAAATTAACTCGACAAAATGAACTTCTGTGTTCTCCAGCTACATAAATTAATTTTTGAAATATGTTTGTAGTCTAACTACTAGACACTTACTTTCATTTGGCTTATAAGAGTCTGATATTAAGCATAGTCATTTTTCTCTCTGGATTTTACAGAGAATAATCTCTTTAAGGATAAAAAATTTTGCTGAGTAGTAGAATTTTTTTGGCTTTTAAGGAATATGTGTTTCATTTAAGTTACTTGAATTAAGTGAATGATTGTGAGCCTCCAGTGCACACCTTGGGCAGGACTGCAAATGCTTTACCTTGACAGCAGTCCCTGGAAAGAGCATTCAATGACCAGGTAACGTTTCATTTCCTTTACCTTTGTTTTACTTGGGGGATCGTGGGCAGCCTGAGCAAGAACCCCGAGTTCTAGCAAGAATTCATGTTCTTACTCAACTTTGACGAGAGGGAGGAAATTATATATCTAATAATGGAAATCTAACTCACAGTGATTAAATAAGCAGAGATGGCCACCTGGAGTGCATTTCCTACCCCATAAAAACATAAAAATATCTGTATTGTAATATAACTTGTAGGTTAATGAAAGCTGATTTATTACTTTTATGACCTTTGAGTCCTAAGTTTGTATGAAACTGAGATGGATGCACATTTATTAAATCATAGCAGTGCACCACCACCGTCTCTTAAAATTCATAACCTACCTAAGATATCAGCTGAATTTATTTTGAGGTTAATATGAAATACTTTAACTGATGTCTTTTCAGAATATTTCCACTGCAAATATATAAACTGTAACATAAAAGATTATCATGCATTGAGAATTAATATCAAACTTTAAATGATTAAGTTTTAATGAAGACCTTCCCAGATTTCTCTATACTTACTCAGAATTGCTGTTTCTTATAGTGGCACCCTCTTTCCTCCTCTCTACCCTACCCCCACCAATCCCCCAGTTTACAGTAGATGTTATTGATATGCAAAAAAAAAGATACATAATATCAGACTATCCAGTCTTTGCTATTGAAGAATTGGTAGTAGGTGAGGGGGACATCTGGCTGTATGTATGAGGCCTGCGTGATAACAAGAGCTGGCCGAGGTGTTTCTTTTTCAGCCAGTCCTGCGTCAGCAGCCCAGATGCAACACAGGCTCTTCCACGAACAGGCTAGGACACAGCCTTTTGTTAAGGTTCTTTTGAGAAAGGGCAGATTTGAATTCCAGAGGCCATCTCTGACAGATTCATTGTTGCCCAAGATTTCCCCCCAATAGGAAAAGCTGTCAAGAATTTTTAAATCAAAATTTTTAAGTTTTCGCTTAAAAATCAAAAGCTTATTTTCCTGTATGGAGAGGGTACTTTATATCAAAGACCCATCTCGAGGAATAGTAGTCATTTCCCTGTCAGAACACATGCCTTGATCTTTCAGATTACAAAGGGAATGTCTTTGCACACAATCCCAGACCAATCGCAGTTCTTTGATGCCAATTAGCTTATACCATCCCTAAAATATATTTGTTTTCTGCAAACTGGAATTAGATTAAGCTCAGTGTTTGCAGATTCTTGGACTGGGAGGAGAGCAGAGAGGTATGTTTTCTATGGCTCTCCATTCTCCTCTGCCCAGGGTAAGAATAAAGGGGCAATCAGATTGCTCTCGCCTCTGTAATCTACTCCAATATTGAGAACAAAAGTCTACCATCGTAAAGTACATTTATATGGGAGTTGCTAAAGAACCACCATCTTTTAATGCAGATAATTTCTTCCCTGGACAGTAAAAAGTACTTCAATATAGATAGATGAGAAAAGAGTGTAATGTAAGTAAAGACACATTCTTTTAACATAAAGAGGAAAAATTATTTTAATTAACACAAAAAGACCTGTTACAGAGTATTTTACATAAAATCATTATTGCAGAAATCTATACTAACACAAACTATTCATTAATAAATTACTGCCAAGAGAATCCAAGTCAGAGTGAATAGTACTTTTGTGACCAACACATGAATTATTTTCATGAAAAGATGAGTGAGTGATAGTCTCTTGCCTACTCCATAATATTAATAATAGCCTTAAGAAGTCTTTTAAAGATTGTAAAGAATGCAAAATTTTCTACTCCTCATAAAATGTTCTCAAATGCATTATTAATAAGATCCGTACTGACCATCAGTCTTACTCTGCATTCTTTCTATCTGCCAAAACACATAGCCTGATGTCCTGGTCACTCTGAGATAATGTGACTAAGACAGCCTCAATTTGATGCCCCAAATCTCCCAACAATAAATCCAAAGTTACTAGGCTATGTGTTTATATTTTTTTCCTAAAATTTGGCCTTCCTAGTGGTCTATTGCATGCTTCACTAGTTCCACTTTTTTTTCTCTCTCTTCTTCTAGTAACTTTTAAAGTTGTTAGTGCTCTAATCTTTGAAGGTTTAACTACATTGAAAATTCAAAAACTAAGCTTGTTCCTATGAATGATAGGTGGGTCCTAACTGTCACATAAACCACCTCTTTAAATATGTAGTGGATGCAAGGTTTGGTTTCGTTAGTGCTTTCTTTTTTGTTTTGTCTTTTCAAATCAATGACATACTTTACAGAATGTGCTTATTGCCCACAGGAAGGCTTGAAGCCACCTCTGCATCCACATAAAAAATGGATTTTAATAAACTCATGATCTCTAATTCTTGTTTGCGTTATTTTTGGTTTCTTTATGCCTTTACCCGTCTCTTTTTCTGCTCTCTGGCTCTTTCTTCCTACCAAGATTGATTCTTCTTGCTTCTCCATTTCCAATGCTGTTTTCTCCTGTTCTCTTTTCTTGTGTTTCCTTACAAGAATAAAAACTCTCTGGAGTTGAAAAACATTTCATCTGGCTGACCTTCCGACTATTTTTGGCCTCTTACAGAAAATGCTTTATCTAGGATGCAGAGACAATATAATTGCAGATGACATTAATGTGGACAGTGTCAGGGGTTGAAGTTCAGTGCCTTTTATTTTCAGCTCTGTGTCTAAGTATTGGAAGCAAGGAATGGAAGACGAGTACTTAACCCTCACTTCTGACTTGGAAATAATGAAGAAACACTCTGGGTAGTACATTTTTGTAAAATGTGCTATGATGGATGTTTGGAGTGGATAATAAGATCTTTGTATTATCATTTTATTACCAGAATGAAAAGATCAACTGTATATTAGTTATCACCAATTTCTTATGTAGATAAAAATGGAGAGCAATAAAGGATTGCAAAGTGTCAACCAGTGGCACTTAAGCAGTATTAGATTGCTTTGATCAGGCTGCCACTTGGCAGGCTACTTAAAAAGATAGGAGGAAAATTCTG